ATCATATTAGACTTACCTAGAAAATTATAAAAAACAAGTTTTTAGAAGATCAATTAATTATTATATATCTTATATCATTTAATGAAACCACAAAAATGATTTACAGATTTGAATATAGCTAGCACAAATTACCGACAAAAATATGCAATTTATTGCATTTTTTTAACCTTTAGCCACTTGTTAACCCTTTTTAAATGATCAAACAAACAATCTCTTCATAAAAATTTGTCACAAAATACAGTTGCTGTGTTTCAATTCATGGGTTGCAGCTGATGTCAGCCACATCGGCCTCTTACGTCACGGCCCCGCGCCGGAGACAGTCCCAGTTTGTAGGTGCCTCATGCTGCTGACAGGTGCATCCAACAAAACCCAAAAAATGTAAGCGTGCAGTATGCTACAGCCAAACTGCTGAAGTCGAGCTAAACTTTTGCAGTTTCATTATGAATATTCCAACGTGGGAGTAGCCTACACAGCTGACGGCATCCCAGAATGCATTGCACCATCAGCAAATGGAACAGAAAAACAAAGATGGCAAATTTTATTTTATCTTTTTTTAAATGACAAGAGTTTGGAAATTTATCACAGACTGAAAAATGTAAGTTAAGCAACTTAGCTGAAGAAACTTTTTGTTGCGATGAGATGTTAAATAAAATGCAGTTACAAGTATACTGGAGTTGAATCCAAATTCTTGTTGCTTTTTATTTGTTTATTTGTAAAATTTTCCTATTAAAACTTAATTTTGTGATGATATACCTTGAAAAAGCAACTGAAGCGATGTGATACAAAATGTATCACCATGTTAACAGGCAGTGCATGRTCGTGCTAACATATGTCTTCTGTAGGCTAGACCTTCTCATTTCACAGCCGTTTATGCAGCCAACACGAGCGGCCTAAGGCCCATGTAGACTATAGCCAATGTCTGCAAACCACGAATTGAGACACAGCTTGTATTTTACTTTTACAAACCTCCATTGTTATCAGCTACTTTGTAAATCTCATATGCACTATGTGCACTCATTCAGTTCATAATCAGACAAATAAACTCTGCTTTGAAAGTCACCACAAAACAAGTGGATGTATAAAACTTTAGAGCGTGCTCCACCATTTATCTTGGATCAGAGAGCTGGATTGCCTCCAATCCCTGGAGCTTTTCTAGTTGATGCATTAAAAATATATTCAAAAGAAAAGGAATTCTTAATTGAATGCTAAGATCTGACACCCCAAGGCACCATCTTTTTTTTGTTTAGTTTTGTTTTTGTGCATGAAATTTTTTTTATAACTTTACAATTTGTTGCTCTAATGAGTTTAGAGCCTGGTTTATTAAAAGTTGAAAATATTTTGTTGTTTGTGGAGGACTTCAAGTTGCTCAGTATAAACATTTAGCAGGTTTGCTAATGTTTCTGTAAAAAATACAATACATTTAGTCATCAGTGTGCTTTGCCATTGCAATGCACACTATTGTGATTCATTTCCCATCCAAGTCATCTCCACTTTGGCATGCTTGTCCTCCTGCATACTTTGTCCTAGATCTGCCATTATATATATATA